GTATACTTTAGTACGTACGTCCGGGGGAGGGTGATGACATGCCGAACCGTACTACCACAGATGCGTCGCGAAATCCATCGTTATCGAGAACTCGAAGGTCTCAGAGCAAATTCGGATCAGCAATACTCAAGTGCGTCGTAAGCGTGGTGGATGGTATGGGCGCATATTGCGCCGATGAGAGCGATCGCTGCGTATTAGGCGTTGCCTCCACATGGGGAGATACGGCTAATTTCGATATAGCAGTCGTACCGATGACTGGTGTGGCACCTGCTCTACGATCACGAGCTAAGGTCGTTCGAGGCAAAGAGTTATGGGACGCCACGGCAAGATCATCGTGCAACAGTTGACCATCGGGTTCATGTTGGTTGGTCCGCCGAGATCAGCTGCTTCGTCGGGACATCGAAGAAAACTGAGTGCGCTCTTGACGAGTTGAAGGTCGGGTAGATGTGTCGACTTGAGGTACGGCGGTAGCTTTTGCTCTACGTCGAAACATTTCACACGTTGTTGGGCAACCAGAAGAATTTAAGATGGTTGTTGAAGTGAGATAATTTAGCTTGTGATTAAAGAACAATTGAGGGGCAGCATCGTTTTCAAAATAAAGCGACTTCTTGTGGAAGTTAGTTTCATAACTGCTTTCCCTAAAAAGAGACAACCCTCCAAACGTGTAATCTGCTACTTTCTGATCAAGAGAGCTAAATTAAGGTAAATGTGTGACCTATTTGCATGTCAGGTATGTGGCCAACTGTTGGAATTGACCAGTTTTCACTTCTACGGGCAATATTATAAATTACGTGCGTGTCGTTCGGACTTCCACCTCAGCTAATTAGGGTAATATAATAGCCATTGAAAAGCGATATAGCGAGAAGGTCGTGGTTCTCATTTCTAGGAAAAGTGTATTTCTTGGGAAAGAGAGGATGCATCACCAGCAGTTTGGTCAAGAATCGCACAGCATCACTGTATTGCGCCCAACTCCAATTACATAAGTAGGTGGATATATTTCAGTTGTTACATAAGTAGGCATAGTGGTGCACGGCTAGCGTGTGCCAAAGTGTCATCATCTGATTGGTTGATAGTGGGGTGCCAGACCCACTTATTGACCAATCAGGTGTCGACCTGTATTTGAGTGGTTCACACGAGGATAGGGTAGTCGCCCTGGTCCAAAATAAATTAGAGTTGAATTTCTACACAGACCGGAGACTCGGTCTAACTATTGCGAGCTTCCTCTACACTACAGTATAAGCTAGTAACGGTAACTCTAGCCCCGTTACACCTGGTAGCACTTCGTAGTCCTTCCAATGATCAAGTTCGGCATGAGTCAACATCTAGAGCACGCTGCTCTCCCCCCACCTCACTCGCGTGGAGTGGGAGGCTCTTCGCCGCCTGGCACCAGTGTCTGGAGAAGCTGTCGTCGCGTCGCTACTACGCTCAGCGACACCCGACCAGCAGCGTCTAGCAGACCAAGAGTTAATTGAACGCGAGCTCGCCGATGTGAAACGACGAGTGTGAACTCCCTCGCGTCTCTCAAAGAATGACGTCGTCAAATTGTAGATGTCAACGTATTCTAGAGTCGGTGAAGACCGACTACCGCAGAAACGATGGTTCCGCGAGACCGACATCGCTATCGTCTCGCGACTCATTGAGGCTCCCACAGCGAACATCAACTTCCTACTCTCCCGGCTATCCGGGAAGGCTAACGAATAGGCCCTCGGCAAGTTGGTCGTCGACCACACTTCTTCCCCAACTCTGAAGGCACTTCAAAACGACTTAAGGCTGGCATTCGAGCCTCCTCAAGACGAGCCGCGCGTGCGCGCAGAGTTCTTCGCCCTCCGACAGGACAAGATATCCTTGCAAGACTATGTCCAGAAGATACGACACCTGGCGTCGTGCATCGTGACCAAGCCGATCGACATGGCTTCACATGTCCACGTCTTTGTGTTTGGAATGCCCGAGGGAATGACTCGCTACTGCCTGGCGCGAGCTGATCCTTCCTCTCTCGAGGAAGCGTTTGTCCTCGCACCTCGCAAGGTAGCGGCATCATTTGCCAAAGCCATGTCCCCGGATGCTAGGGAGTCCGCTCCCGAGCCAATGGAGATTGATGTCGTCGATATGTCCGGTGATCGACAGCGCTCGGTGTAGCGTGGGGGTGGTAACAGTATGCACGCCTTCTAATTGCTTCGGGCCCAAAAGAAAGTTCACCGCGCAGCGGAGTGCCGCCCCCTGCTCCTGCCCTCGCGCTCGTAGATGCGGAACCTTCCCAAGTCGTCCAGAAAACGACCTGGACCAGTAGGTGAAGGGCGCCCTGCTGGTTGGAATGAAGGCCCGGGCCCTCCGGTGGCAGCCCAGCCTTCTAGCCCTCCTGTGCTGCAAGCACAATACAATGGCACAACCACGCCGGGCGACTCGAGATTGATCATCGTTAGTCTTCATGTCGCCGGCACCCGGGGACCACTGCGCGGTCTCCTAGACTCAGGAGCGACCAACAACTTCTTCCGCGCGTTTGCCGGAACTACCCAAGAACGTCCGCATTCGGAAAGGCCCGGGTGAAGTCGAAGTTAAGCTAGCAGGAGGTAAAACTCGCCGCGTTGCGCGGCGTGAAGAACCGCTTCAATACAAGTTCGACGGCTTCCGCAGCAAGGATGATTTCTTGGTGATCGAGATGAATTGACTGCGTCCTG